TTTGATCCGCATCTCGGAGCAGTATTCGGCTGATTCCAAATCCTCCACAAGGAAAACCCGATGAGGATTCCCGACCCGCCCGAGCAAACCGATCCATGTAGCTCATGCAGCTCTCTTCATCTCTCCCTCTTTTATTCCGACATTTCTCCGACGAAGCAAAGCTGCTCAGTCCGACCGACACAAAGCTCGAATAAGATCCGAACACAACCCTAGCCAACTCTCTCGATATTTCCTCTTTACCTCTCGTGCCGCCGCCGCCGTCAGGGCCGAGAAAGCACAACCACGTTTCTTCTTTATTAATACAGACATCGGCGTTGACTTTTAGCTGGTCTTCTCTTCTTCTTCTTCTCAACATCCCAGACCTGCACTGAAGTATTGTTCCGGCGATTTCGGGAATGATTTCCTTCTGCCATGGAACCTTCTTCTCCAGTGCGTTGCATATTATATTCAGATTCTCAGCGTTGAATTCTTTGAACCTCTGCGTGTAGCAGTACTCCATCTCCATCATGACGTCACTTGATGATGCCGAATTCGGATTCGACGAAGACGCGGGTCGGGTCAAATAAGTAGTTATTAGGGTTTCTTGTTTGTGGGCTGAACTACAGAATTTGTTCCATTTCTTGTGTATTTCTTCCCTAACTGCTTCCTCGTACTTCTGTAAAATCATCAAAAGCGTGACAGAAAGAGAATATAGTTAGGTCTTTAATTAAGTTAAAGCTACCTATTAAAAGTTTAATTAAAATTGATTTGATAATATAATATAATTAATTAATTAATTGATTAATTACCTGATCATTGTTACTAAGTCTTGCGCTTTCATCCTTAAGCCAAGAAGGCAACGTCGGATTAACGTTAATTTTGCAAGCGTCGTTTTCTACTTTTCGAATTTCCGCTTCCAATTTCGCTGAACAATCATCACAGCAAGTGACCTCTCCGTTTGTAAACTGCGACGACGTCGATCGATTTTCTGTTCTTCTATCTCGAGCTTCGATTTGTTCATCACTAATTAATTAAATGAAAAAAAAAATATAAACATCCATATAAATATCGATATAATACGAAAAATCAGTGGAAATTAATTAAATTTAAACCCACAATTAATAAATTAATTAGCCAAAAAAATAAAAATGAATTACCTTTGGGAAAGAAGACTAAAGGTCAAAGTATTGGCAGGTAGTGTAAGAGGATGCAAACCCCAAACAGTTTCAAGTGAGCTATGGCCACCATTTCTGCAACTCATGTATGTCTGAAAATTAGCAATTCCCATTAACCAAAACTTTTCATTTTCTCCATTATTATTATTATTAATAATTCTTCGCCACACTAATCTACCAAGCTCCATAATCACGTGCTCCACAGAGCAGTAGTAGCTGTTGTTATTCATTTGATCTTGATCGGACAAACTAACCCTATAATCACTTATCCATTTGAGATCTCCGATGTACAAAACCACCCCTTTTCCGACAAGGCTGTCGACGAGACACGTCAGCTCTCCGATCTTCTGTTCGACTTCTTCTCGGCGGAGGTTGCAGAAAGAATAAAGAGGTGGTATTGTGATGAACTTCACTTCTGTTAAAGATTCAGGTACGCTTCCTCTGTCAACCCTATCCATCACACCTTTCACTGTGTTTTCTAAGGTGGATGTTGATTCGCCTACAATTACGATACTGCCCTTTCTTGATTTTCTTCTCGCCAGTAGGGTTTCTATTACTGTATTGATATCTTCGTTATTTCTTGTAGCTGCTGGCGCCTGGTTGGTGTTGTTGTCGTTGTCTGGTGAATTGGTGGTGGTGGAGGTGATTGGTGGCGGCGGCGGAGGGGTTTTGGAGTATGATTCAAGAGAAGAAACAGCTCTTTCGACGTTGGTTTTGACTTGTGTGCTGGAGAACCCGGCTTCCCTCATCACTCTGCTAACACTTGGGTCGTCGAGGATGGAGATTATCAGCTGTTCGAGCTCGATTTTCACGGCGAGTATTGACTGCTGCTGCGGCGGCGGTGGCGGGTGGTGGTGGTTTTCGATGGAGCCGCGGCGCTGGTGGGCTTGGGCGCGTTTGAAGGCGGCGACGAGGGCGTTGGAGATGGCCGCGGGTACTGGTGAGAGTATAGTTGGTGGTGGGGGGTGGTGCTCGCCGGAGACAACATGGGGTGGTGGGAGTTGGAGGTGGCGGGGAGGCGGTTGAGGGCGACGTTGAAGCAGAGGTCGAGGGCCTTGCACTGGAGAGGGTGGGAGTGGGAGTCGAGGCAGGCGACTCTGAAGAGGCCGTTTGTGGCGGCGAGCATGGTGTTTGCCACGTGGAGTGGGGTCACCTGGGCGTGGCCGCGCCGCTTTGCGAGGAGGACGGCCTGTTTGATGACGGCGGCGGCGTCTGGTGTTAGAGCTTGCTGGAGTGCGCACCCACCACCTGCTCTCATTATTATTATCTTGATAATTAATGACACTAGCTAGATAGAGAAATAAATATTACAGAGTATTAATTAATTTGTTTATAAATATATAATTGAAACATGTGTATATATGTATTTGTGTTTGTAATAATATAGAGTGAGAGGATTGGTTTGAGAGTTGGAGATGAGGAGTACTGAAATAATATAACATTGGTTTGAGAGTTGGAGATGAGCTTTTCGTGTAGATGAGGTAAAATATTTTATGTACGTACCAACCTTAATCTTTTATATATATATATATATATATGTATATATATATATATATATATATATATATATATATATGTATGTATGTATATATGTGTGTGTATTTGCAGTAATAAATAAAAAAGGATATATTAATAATAAGGGAGTGGAAAGTGGAAGGCATGTGGTGACAAGAAGGACGAATGTAGCAAAGGCAAATCAGCTTTATTTTATTAACTCTGATCTCCTAATTACATTTTATATATCCTATGCTATGCTTTAAATAATTAAATATAGTGTAAAAAGATATATGGAATGTGGAGCTAATAGCTAGTGGGACGAGTACTCTGCCTTTCATGCTACTAATTAATTTCCAGGGTAATAATTAAATTAAGTTATTGAGAAGAAGAAAATAGTGACATGAAATTAATTAGGTAAAAAATAATAATTAAGGTACGTACAAATTTAAATAATGTAGGTGAATAGGGGTACGTGTAACGCGTCCTAGTGTGAAATGAGCATTTAAATTTAATTTGGAGGAGAAGAATAAAAAAAAGAAGAATATTGGATGGAGAAAGAAAGGTAGAGGGGATATATTGACGCAGAAAACGAGGTGGTGAAAAGAGAGGCAAGGAGTGGGGGCTGTCTGTTTGAAGGGAATCGGTAACTGTGTCTCTCTCTCTCTCTCTCTCTAGATCTCTCTCTCTCTCCACTAAAGTTTAAAGCTCTCTTTGCATGCAACTGCAGCTGCTTCCTTTTGCATTGGAGTATATTGCATGGGGATTTTGATATTCAATTAGGAACAGGACCAGTTCTTTTGCTAGCTAGAGAGTAATGATCTGTTTATGATTTTATATGAAATTTTGATCCTTATTCCACATACAAATATTGATCACCAATTCTATCCTCGATCTCAAATTGAAATAAACCCATGATTGCAGTTGCATTAGCATTAATACATTTCATTTGTTTTCACCTCAATTAATGCTTTCTTGAACCAAAAGAAATGTCAAAGTGCACAAAAAAAACATTAGTTAATTAATTATAACACTACCTAAAATCAATGTCTAATGGTCTACGCTAAGAATGTTTTCTTTTTTCTTTTTCCCGGGGCCAACAGGGACACAGGAAGAGATCGATGATGATCGAGCATATATATATATATATATATATATATATTCAAAGGATGTATAGTATAGATAGTATTATTGTGCAGAGTCTTGGCAGTCAAAAAGCTATTCCCATCTTCGATGACCTAAAAAGACATCCAAACAGCACTAAATCAATTGTATCACCAACTTTTCTATAACACCACTAAAGCATTATTTATTTATTAATTGTTTCAACAAATTAAAAGGTAACGAATATTTATATATACATAAGTTCTCTATAATTATCATATAATTAAACCCATACTAATTTAATTTCTCCACAAATTAAAAAAATCATGTTAACTGTCCAAAAAGCTACGGTAAGTGTTTGTAACATATCTTAATTAATTAATTATGTTCGTTTGCTAAATAAATATCAGTAGTTCAGCCTAATTAAACAGTACATACATGTGTGTGTTTAATTTGCACTAGAGGATTAATAGTTAATTAATTAGAAGCCCCACTAGCTAAGCTAATTATCTTCTCTAATTAGCTTGATTATATATTAAAGTAATTAAAGGAGTCTAACATAAAGCTGATTAAGCACCATTAATAAAAGTAATATAATGTATGGCATTATATTATCTCTATACTCAAAAGGGCTGCTGCTCAATCTATATGCCTTACTGCTTTCTTTCTTTTTTTTTTGTTCTTTTTTTGAGGTTCAAATTATACGCGTCTTTGCTCTCAAAGCGGCCATGTGACCGCCAAAAAGTTGTGTATACATCGCATTATATATATATATCACTTACTATGCGTGTATGTGTGTGTGAGAGAGAGATACATAGGAGTATTTATATTGTAATTATGTATATGTATTATGTGGGAATTGGGGATGCTTGCTGGCTCATACACCTATATAAAACATATAATATATTATATATTAAAGATAAAAAGTTGGTCTAATTTTGACATGACAGCCTTCTTAATGCAAAGTTCATGGAATTACTTATCTCACACTCCTTTTCCCCTCTAAAGTTTTCCACTTATTTATTGTATATAATTTCGATCCACTTTTCTTCTTCTCTTCTTCTTCTTTCTTTTTAAAAAGAAACTAATTAATTGGAGCCATTTAATATATTAGTTGTAGTGAAATCAACCAAGTTTCAGATTAAAAAACAATTCAAGAAATTAAGTTAGACAATAGCACAAATACCTTGTAGCTTGGTTTGTGCACTCCTTTACCTCAGAAAAGACAATCCAACCAAAAGCAAGACAAAGAGAGCAGCCAAATCAGGGAAGTTTATTGCAGCATTCAATTTGGACATACAATTATTATTATTATTATCATTCCCAAACAATAGTCAAAACTCAATAACAAAACTTTCAAATCGAAAAAAAAATGACAACATTGTATTTCTTGGTACAGAAATCACTAAGCTTAAATTGCTGCAAAGTAGTCCTTGCTAAGCTTAGGGTCTGGTTTCATCGATTTGTCCCCGGGCTTCCATCCAGCTGGGCATACTTCATCGGGGTTATCTTGCACGTATTGCAAAGCCTGCACAATAAATATCCACTCAATATATATATGTATATGCTCGCTTAAAATGCACTTAAATACACCGTACAGTACCTGGAGAGTTCTCAGTGTTTCATCAACACTACGCCCGATTCCAAGATTGTTGATGGTGGAGTGTTGGATAACTCCCTCCTTGTCAATGATAAATAGCCCTCTTAACGCAATCCCCTGTTCATTTTCTCTTAGGTTATCGTTTGAAAAAAAATAGAATGACTGCCTAACAAATTACAATGTGTGAAAATTTATATCATCGTTGAACAAAGATATTGCAACACATACCTGATCGTGAATCAGCACATTGTACGATTTCGAGATTGATTTAGTCACATCAGAAACTAACGGATAGTTCAAATCACCCAAACCACCAGATTTCCGCTCCGTTTGGATCCATGCAAGGTGGGAAAACTGCACGAGTTTGATAAGAGTATATTATATCATAAAGATGATTTTATAATTTATACAAGTGAAGAAATAAGAGAGGGAGTCGATAAGAATTACCACACTGTCTACAGATACACCCAAGACTTCTGTGTTCAACTTCTCAAATTCTGAATATCGGTCACTGAAAGCAGTGATCTCTGTGGGGAAAAAAATAATTATTTAAGCAAATCATAAATGGCACAATCGAACAGCATATAGATAGCCCAGTTCAAGACTCACCGGTGGGGCAAACAAAGGTGAAGTCCAGTGGGTAGAAGAAGAGAATGACATATTTCTTTCCTATGTACTCGGACAGTTTAACCTGTGGATTAAGCATAACTATCATCGAAAAATAATTCATACATGATTTGCAAAGTATTGGACACAGGGTACAGAAAAGAAATTATTCAAAGACGAATAAATATCAATAATATCAGAATCTTGACAATCGAACGAGTTAGAGATTGTGATCCACGGATTCATCATCCGATTAAAATCAGTAGTAGCTTTGCCAGCAACTTTGTATAAGATATATACATCTCTTCGAGACACGAAGTAAATGCCAACCAATCAAACTAAGGCTACAATCCAAAGTGGCAAACTCATACAACCACGTTCATAATGTCATAATCTCAATAGAAGCTTTCTAACACCATACTTTGTCGCAGTAATTTTCAAGATAAAGGGAAAACTATATGACTAAATAGTTTCAAACGGCATTCGCCGTAAGTTACCTTAATAAATTCCTGATCGAAAACAGCTTCGGCCTCGAAATTTGGAGCTACGTTTCCAACCAGCGGAAGTATATATATATATATATATATATATATATATATATATATATATATATATATATATATATTGACATATGAAGACAGCCCAGGCAAATGCAAATTAATAATTTGAATTATTTGTAGCCACAGGTTAAAATGTACACAACAAATTAAAGCGAATCTGAAAATCTGACTTATTTGAACTGCTAAAATCAGTAAATGAACAGTTCTGTGAGCTAATGAAATTTAACGCCGGCAATTGTTCCTCAACCAATTGTGAATCGCGTTCGAAAAATGAGTAGAAAGTACAGATTCAGGAAAGGATTGAAAAAAACCCCAAATTAAACTAATCGAACTTTGCAAATTGTCAAAGATTAAGAAAACCCACTCTAAAAAATTGAAGGGAAACTAAAAATTGAAAAAGGGGAAAATTAAAATGCTGTTAAATTGGAAATGAAGGAGGTGGGAGAGCGAAACTTACGGCACGGACGACAAAACAGCTGCGTGTTTTGGAGCGGGAGGAGAGGGAGCGGGCAACACGAGACACAAAGGGTTTGCCGGAGAAGGAGGAGGAAAGGGAAATCGATTGAGTAGACACTGATGTTTTGGAAGCAACGCGAGCTTTTGGATTCGAAGATGCGAAAGCAGCCACCGAAGTAGCAGCTGAGCAAGCCATTGTTCGTTCTCTCTCTCTCTCTCTCTTTCTCTCTCTAACTCAGTCTCTGTTGGTGTTGTAAATTCGTCGAACAGTTTATCTGTATGGTTTGGCGTCTACCATAGGCCTACAGGTGGAGGAGAGCTTGATTGCTAGAGGTCAGTGGATAAGTCACGAAACGCCGTCGTTTTGTG